ACAATATTTCCTGTAGAGCTGGTTCTCCACAACAAGCCTCAGCTTCTACTCTGCTGTCCCATCTCCTTGTAAGGCATCTAATCCTGATGGATAACCTACCCATGGCAGAAGACCTTGGACAAGAAACACAGGGAGAATTATCCCAAGCTTATTCAACATGGGCAGACGGTTCTCGCAGTGTAACATGGGGAATACTACTGGATTAGTGGAGGATATTAGTCATCAGGGTATACCAATAAAGAGGAGAAAAAAAGTAACTTTAAGGTTGAACTGGATCCAACCAACTGGTTTGAAAAATATGTTACAAACAGCACTGTATTCAACCTTATTGAAGTTCAGTGTAATGTAATGTACAGGCTCCATCACATGTCCTAAACCCTGGGCTAGAAAACTGTCTACAGCCAAACCAAGAGACTGAAGAAAATGGGGGCAGCAGGGGCCTAGATACTTTTACCAAAGGATAAAAGCCTTTCTGGATGGAAGTGAGAGGTGAAGTGCTTGAAATGTTTCCATAACTTCCAGAAAATACCCCTGAGATGAGACTCCCTGTGGAGAAGAGCACAGTGGAGCAGGGAAAAGGTGTGAGGAGGAAGGGGCAGAGTAGAGGAGCTGTTATGGACTGACTAAAACCTCCATTGCCCACCCCCCTGTGCTGCCCAGTGATGGGGAGGAGGTAGAGGGGCTGGGGATGAAGTAGTTCAGCATGGGAAAAAGCAGGAGAAGGTGCTGACTTAATTTTCTCTATTTGTTTCTAATTTACCGACTCTATTTTAAGTGGCAATAAATTGAATTAATTTTCCCCAAGCTGAGTATGCTTGGGCCATGACAGTAACTCACAAGTAGTCTCCCTGTCCTTATCTCAACCCATGAGCTTTTTCATCTTATTTTAGCTGCCTGTCCTGTTGAGAGGACCTCCCATTGGGGTCTGCAACTTCCTCCTGAGGGGCAGTGGAGGGGCAGCTCCAAACTCTGCTCTGGGTCTCAGGGAAAGGTTCTTCCCCCAGAGGGTGGTTGGGCACTGACCAGGCTCCCCAGGGCAGTGGGCACAGCCCCAAGGCTGCCAGAGCTCCAGGAGGGTTTGGAAAATACTCTCAGGCACAGGGTGGGATTGTTGGGGTGTCTGTGCAGGGCCAGGGGTCAGACTGGATGATCCTTGTGGGTCCCTTCCAACTTGGAATGTTTTGTGATTCTCTGCTTCCATGAGTGGGAGTGGCTGGGTGGACATCTGGCCCTTGGCCACAGTCAACCCCCCATGAGTACAAACTATTTCTATGACAGGAGGTACATGGAGCACTTTCTGTGTGGGTCATGGATAATTCCCACCACTTTCAGTGCTGAAGAAGGAGGTCATTGGGAATGCAGTTGGAAATCTTACTTTTAGTATGATGTATTGCCAAAAGACATTTAAAAAAATTTTTCTCAAGCTACTTAGAGACTAAGTTTAAATATCTGCTGAGAAGAGAAAGAGTTTATATACTTGCCTCCAGGAAAGGTTTTCTGTGACCAAATAATTGTGTTTCATACTGGCTGGAGACTTTGGTCATTATAGTGATGTGTTTTGGGAGCAAATTCTTTAAATATTACTGGAGAGTATCTGAGTAGGAGGAGAAGAATTCCGGGTGTAGAAGTAAATTTTCATGAAGCAGCAGGATCGCTCTGCACGTCCTTTGGCTAACTAGAATGAAAAATCCTGTAAAAAACTTGTTAGGATAATGGTTTTCATTTTCTAGCACTGCAAGATGTTGCAGGTGATGATGCAGTAATTACTGTGCAACAAGCACATTTAGAAACAGCATAACTTAAAATTACTTCATTGTTCCAATTGCTGATTTGCAAATGGAAAATACTCCCAGTACTCTATTACTATAAACAGTAGCTGCATTGGCAGACTTTGCAGAAGAGTTCTTCTTTGCTGCTTGCCAACTTTACAGCCCTACAGGAAGAGAAATTGTTTAACTAATCCCCTGTAAAGTGCACCACAATTACCTGTGACAAGCGTAAAGCATTGCTTTGTTTATTGGTGGTGTGGTTTAACCCCAGCCAGCAACTCAGTCCCAGGCAGCTGCTCCCTCACCCCCCAGCCCCTCAACCCCAGTGGGATGGGGACAACTGGAGAAAGGCAAAACCCACGGGTTAAGAACATTTCAATAATTGAAATAAATTAAATAATAATAATATAAGGAAAAAGAGAGAGGGGAATAAAGCAAGATGAATAAAATGCAGTGCTAAAAGGATGCAGCTTAAAACAATGCTTGAAAGACATTTATCTTGTATTTCTTGTAGAAACACTTAACAGTTAAAAAAGCCCTAATATCTGGTGGCCACTAGTCCTTGGTAATAAGTTAATTTCTTCCCAGGCTTCTAAAAATAAAAGGGCTTTGTTATTTTTAGGATTTTGCAGTTTGGAAGAACTGAGAGATTCGAGTCGTGGTTGTGTTTTTTTTTGTTTGTTGGGTTTGTTTGTTTGTCAGTTTGTTGTTTTGTGGAGTTGTTATTTTCAGTTTAGTGGCAGATTTAAGTTAAATGCAGTTAAAATGCACTACTTGAACTTATGTACAACTGAAACTGATTGTAAGCTGTCAGTGAAATCCCTGGTAAAATCTGTCAGACGTTGACCTACAGAACATGAACATGAAAACAAGGAATTTTTCTCAGATCTAGACTAAAATTTTTGGTTTTCAGGCTTACTTCAGGTAGCCAGCAGCCTACAAGGCAGGGTTCAGGGGATCTGATCTAGCAACAAGTGTCTGTCTGCCCCATGTGAATCCAAAAAAGAAATATTCAGAAACTCAAATATTCAATGACAACTGAAATGATCTGGTGTCTGATCCTTTAGCTACCGTTCTGATTAAAAACTTGTATGTTTTGTATTATTTCTAATTTCCAAGGAAATCAGGAACAGTTTTACAATCTTATTTTGCTGACATTATGAAAAAAATACGTATTTCCATGCCAGCTTGGATTTGTTTTAATAATTCTTTTAATAGAAACACATAAAATAATGTCTCAGTTACAAAGAGTTGACCGTGCAACTACAATGGATCCATTCCATGGATGAGCAGTATCTCCTCTCCTGCTGTGCTGTGGGGACACTACAAGGCACTGTTGGAGCCCTGAAGGGGCCACGTGGGCAAACTTAACAATGAGCCAGAATTCTTTACCCAAAAAAGCTCCAACCTCAGCAGGATCAGGGCACAACACGTAAGTAAGCAGAAGATTCAACAACAGGCAACTGGCTGGAGGATTGAGGTCCTGATAAGATCCTAAAGTTACACTTGTAGTTGTGCCTGAGAGGGTGAGGAACCCACAGACAACCAGAGCCAGTTAGGTGCTGCTGCACAACCACAGCCACATGCCCGGGGTCCCACGGGCTCTTACTCACGGGTGATGAAGCCTTTTAGCTTCCCAAATAATTCTCCACCTGCATAACACCAGACTTAAGCTTCTCTTGAAATGTCAAACATCAATAAATGCCATTCCCCACCTCCAGCAGCAGCTCCACCAAACCCCTCCCGAGCTCACTGAGCCCACGTACACTTTGCAGCAAAATCACAGGGCAAGCAGGGACATCTGTGCCTCCATGTCTCTTGTTTTTGTGTGTGTTCAGCCACTGGTAGAGTAGCAGAAGATGTACAAACTGTGCTCAGTTCTCAAGGAAATAAATGACCAAATGAAAGGAGAAACACAGACAAACAGAACTCACCTAGTAGGGAAACGTGGTGGCAGTTGATAACTACCCAGAGAATGAAACACTGCTGCAACACCCAGCTTAATAATATTGCTACTACTGATATGAGAACCTACTCCCACCTCCTTAAGGTTATGTTCCTATTTTCTGTGCTTTCCTACATTGGTAAGTATTTATTTAACAGATTTTGAGATTATTGAGAAAGGAAAGCTGCATGGAGCTGCAGTATTTGGCAGACAAGACCATTCTCTGCTTCAAAAACTCCACAACTGCTGAGGCAGAACAACTTCCCCATTTCCAAACCTGGTCCTGGAGGCTGTGCACAGTTACCTGACTGTGCAGGCAGCTGAGGTCCCAGCCAGCTGCTTGGTCATGAATTCCCTCCCTCCCCTCCCCAAAGCAGAGTGGGAGAAGAGAATGAGAAAGGCAAAAATGAGAAAAACTCACGGCTTGAGACGAAATCAGTTTAATGAGTATAAAAAAACTACCCCAAAACAACAAGAACAACAAAAACAAAAAAAAACCAATCCCCCCAAAAAATCCAAGTGATGCCACAGCAATCCCTAAGCAACTCCCACCAGCCAAGCCAGTCTGAGCAATGGCTCCTTTGGAAAGGTGCTGAGGTCCACTTTGTTAGCGACTCACTTCTTTTGAAGGTGTGGTAGTAGAACTCTTTTTGTTATACTTCACTCACCTTTTTACCTCTTACCGTGAAAGGAGAATTCATTTTTGAGAATTCCTTTAATTTTTTGTGAGAAGAACAAGCTGAATATCCTCGCCCTTGGCTTTCTCATTTTCATTCCACAGAAGAAAAAATGATTTACTCATTCGGAAATCAGAGAAGCTGTAAATGTTTTCTTCATTTACTTGTAACTGCATTTTTCCTTCTATTTATGCAATTCTTTGCATTAACAGCACTATGGTGATGACAATTGAATTTGGAAAAAAAAACTCCCATGCTATCATTATTTCTTAAGAGTAGGAAATGGTTGGAGCACTAACTGTAAGGTCCAGGTCCACTGGCTGATGCCACACCAACCACATTTGGATTAACACACATACCAGCTTCTAGCTACAACATTTATTCAGACTCTAATAGTGCTCAATTGTCTAAAAAAAAACCCCAATTGCCAATATATACATACTCCCAACATAATATATATAATGCCAATTATATAGTGACAATTAATTGTCCAATAACTTCTAGCAGCTGGTTGAGAAGACCTTGTATTGCCTCTAGACAATTCAAACAGTGCTCAGTGACAATATTACCTCGGGGCTAGTTTGTTGTTGTGCTGGAGGGTTTTTTTTTACTCAGCCATTTAAAATGCACAGCTAAAGGGAACACTGAGATTATCCCGTGTTAATACATTTTGTCAGCGTTGCTTTTTGTGTCTTTATCTGAAAAAAAAAAACCCAAACAAGGTAACAGATGTCTGGTCTCCTAATGCTCCAAGTAGGAACGTGACTTGGTGTTGTGCTGCGTCAGAGAGTTCTGCCAAAAAGTGAATGTTATTTCTAGGGCTGAGCAATGTCAAGGCAGATAACTCCAAACTGAATGCATGACTTTTTTTTTGAACCAGCCTCCGAGGTTTTATTTACTTTCTCTCAAACGTAAGTTAAAGAAACGCAACTGAAAATTTGGCTTTCTGGCAAAGACATTTGCACCACCTTAAATGCAGGAATTCCTGCTGCCCTGTGACTCAGCAAAACACATGCTAAAGACACGAAGCCATCCTTGTTTACTGGGGTTTGAAATGCGTGCTTACAGCCCAGCAGATTCCAGAGAGCTTCCCAAAAATCCACGCGGGGCTTTGTGCTGCACTGCTTTGACAAATGGAGAAGGTAATCAAATAAATGATGTAAGAGACATCTTTTTTACTGCCTCCTTTCCTTTGTGACTGAGAAGAGGATCTGACATCTTCCTGCTATGGCCCCCCAGCAGCTGGAAGCAGTGGAAATGTCACAAGGCTGATGGTTGCTGCTGACAGGAGCACATACCTGTTGTGTGCCATAATGACTCAGCCCAGGCTGCTGCAAGACAGGAACTGTAAAAAGCAAAAAACCCGATACACAGCTTTATGCATTGCTTATTTTTCCTATCATTATGTTTGAGTTGGAAATTGGGTAAATGGAGTTCATCCATACAAATTCTTCATGCTTTTTCTGTCTCATTAGCTGCACAGCCCAGGCAAATGATAAATGCTCATAAAATTGCTGTATTTTATTATTTTATTATTATTATTCTAGAGACTGGAAATGCATGGAACAGACTGCTCAAGAAACTGTATTGTTCTTAGTCATTGTCATTGGTGGCCATGTATTTTGATTCTTGTGAGTTAATGACATATAATAACAAAGGTTATTTTCAAATCTTACTACAGATACTTTTCTTGGCTCATTTCTATGGGAGATAACAAGATCTATTGAGATAATACACCAGATGCTATTCAGGGAATGACTATGAACTTGAACCAATATCTGTAAAATAATCTCTTTTCCAAATGCAAATTGCTTTCTCTACAAGCTTTTTTCTTCACAGCATAGCCACCCTAAAACTCAGCAAAATTCTGCCTTTCTAGTGTGCAATTCCTTGACACTGCAAAGCATCAACTGAGACTTTCCCTGATACCTGTTCTTCTCTTTCCTTTTTGGTCCATGACAAATTTCTTTTATACATTCTGGCAAATACATATTTTGCTTCTGCAGACATCCATAAAGGGCAGGTGCAAGACTCCAATCAGGATCCCTTACGTCTTGAATACAGAACTGCTTTTCCTACAACTTAAGTCTGTCTTTTGTACCAGGTGTCAGCTGTAACAACACTTCCCTGGACTCCACCACCCCTCAGAAAACTCATTTTGTCTGAATGTGGGTCTTGATTTTTTTATGTGCACCACAGAAAATGCATTGAGGGGTCTTATCTTCATTTCAACACTTCTTCTGTCCTCCACCATTAATTCAAATGCATTTCAGATTCCGACCTCTCTGTGAAGAGATTGATTTCTGACCACACAGAAGTAACACAGCACCAACAGGTAGGTTTTATTGAAGTCTGTGTGACAACACTAAGGTCAACAGGGGCTAAAACTCAATGGAAGCTGCATGGCTTCTGTATTTAAACACAGTACACTGAAATTACACCTCAATTCCTCTACAAATCTGCTGACTCTGTGTCAGGCCAGTGCTTCTCACACTGCTTGTAAAGTCACTGCCTGTGGGAGAGAGGCCTCCATTCCATATCCATCGTATCAACTCCTGGAAGTGCATATTACACCATTTCTGTAGGATATTCTTTCTGGTACTGGGGTACTGCAGCCATGGAATATTTTTCTCCTAAGGAAAACAGGCAAATTTGATGCCTAGGACTCTCCACCATGACACTTCAATATGATTTAAAATGTGTCCCCTGCTTTACTTTTTTCCTCTACAAACATCTTTTCATTTTCTTGAGAGTAACAAGAGACTCCTGTGATTGTCTGAAGTCTGGCTAGCAAGAAAAAGTGAATACCTGAACACATCAGAGGTTATTTTAAAAATGCCTGTGTGGCCACTGGTCATGGAAACATGGCTAAGATATGCCTCAACTAAAAAAAATAAAAAAAGATTCCTCCTAGTAGCGTGTGTCTGGCTGTGTCTAGTAAGCTCATGTGAGCTTACAGGTTTTGCAATTAATACCATCAGAAAACAGTAAATACCATATCTTCAAAGAGGTTGTTCTATCTCAGAAAACTGGTGCTTTTATGATAGCAAGAGCCTGAAAAAAACCCAGGCCTTTTAAGTTTATCCCTTGCTGCCAAAGGATGGAGCAAGTGAATAGGCAAACATGCTGTATTTCTTTGACTTTCGGGGAGAAATTAAAGAAATTTTACACTACTAGTTCCTTCTCTGTAAGCGAAATGTTGGGAGTTCCTAAAAATAATCTCCTCTGCAAGTGAGGAAAAACTCAGTGGATATAATTTTATTCCAGTGAATCATATCTCTGCTAAAGCAGAAATGTATAGGTCAAAATATGTTGGTGGACAAGGAGTGATCATGAGTCAGCAGTGCCTGCTGTGGCTAAAAGGCAGATGGGGTCTTGGGCTGCATCTGTGGGGACAGAGTGGGATCTTCCCATCCTACTCATCACCTGTCACGCTGCACCTCCAGTCAGAGACTGGTTTGGGTTGGAAGGGACCTTAAAGACCATCTGGTTCCAACCCCCTGCCATAGGCAGGGACACCTTCCACTAGAGCCTGTGGAAGGAACCTGGAGCACCGTGTCCAGCTCGTGTCCCCACAGTTCAAGAAAGAAGCAGAAAGACAAGAGAGGGTCCAAAGGAAGGCCAGGAAGATGATCAAAGGGCTGGAGGAAGCACTGAAGGAATTAGGTGTTCTCTCCTTGGAGAAGAGAAGGCTGGGGGGGAATTCATCATGGTCACTGAAGTGAGCAGATCCAGGGCCACCAGGTCCACAGCCAAGTGCTCTAGTGCAGTACATGGCATGGGGAGAGTGTCCTGGTGTGGGGGAACCTGGGAGCTCTGGGAGGAGGGGAGCAGGCTGAGGAGTATCAGGTAGTATGAGAGAGAGAGCAGCTACTGGAATCACAGCCTGCCTTCCCTGGGACAGGCCCACCATGCAGATGGGACACATGGTCTGCAGGATTCCCCATCCTCTCTCTCTCCCTGGCTGAATACAGTGACTGAAAGGATTGGGGGGCCATAGTGACAGTTCCTGCCCAGCTGGGGTGGTTTGACCTTGGCTGGACACCAGGTGCCCACTAAGCCACTCTCTCAGTCCCCCTTCTCAGCTTCTGTCCCCTTCTCAGCCAGGAGGGGGAGAGAGAATAACTCCCAGGTTGAGACAGGGTAGTTTCCTGAAGCAAAAGGTTGTGTGCACACAAGCAAAGAAAAAACCCAAACATTTTGTTCTCTACTTCCCATCAGCAAGAAATGTCTGGCCACTTCCCAGGAAGGGCTTCAGCACATGGAGTGGCTGCTCTGGAAGGTAAATATTGTAAATAACAAATACCCCCCTTCTTCCTGCTTCCTTGGCTTTTATCTCTGAGCTGATGTCACATGGTCTGGAATATCCCTTCGGTCACTTTGGGGACAGCTGGCCCAGCTGTGTCCCCTCCCAGGACCTTCCTCATCCCCTGGTGTGTTATCAACACCTTTCCAGCTCTCACTGCAAAGCACAGCCCTGGGAGGGACGGGGTGGGAAACCAACTCCAGCTCAGCCAGACCCACCACAGCACTGCAGTGGCAGTGTCTCCTCTGGGACTGCTCCACATTCCCAGGTGCCCATGGAAAACGGGCACAAGGCTCTGCAAGAGGGTGGGAACACGACGAGGACAATGGTTCATAAAGGTTGGAGGTGTCACCAAGGTTAGTGGTCTGTGCCCTGAGTCAAAACAGCCTCCATACAGAGAAGAGGTTGGATTATTGTCGCAGGAGAATTCCTTCTGTGGGGAACTGAAGGGCCAGTTTGCTGAGCTGACACTTCTTGGGGGAGTCTGCTGCCTCCCTGGCAGTGCCCCATCGCTGGAGGGTTTCAATATGTGAGTGAACAGGGCATTAGATAATCTCATCTAGGCTCCCTTTTCCTTCCAACCCGGGCTGTTCTGCAATTCCAGGTATCTCTGATATGGTTATAAAGCAAAATTCTAAATATGGCATATTTGTTTGCATAATCAGCAAATACGGGACTTGTTTAGACACCCAGTTCAATTTATGGATGCAAATAGCAACTAGAAATGAAACCCATGAGTGTATGAAACATTGTTTCCCAAGAAAAATATGAACACTGGACACAGGCAATTAAGCATTCCCTATGTTTTCTAGATGAATATGCAAATTTGACATTCAAATCAGACATCTAAGAAAAAAAAAACCCAACCCTCATCCGAGCAAAAACGCTAAGAACATAAGCAGTCCAAAGTTTAAGTCTTTCTGCTCTAACTTTAATTACTTGCCATAATTTCAGTTAAGGGCAAGGCACTTTAGTAGGTTATCATTTTGTTCCTCCCAACTGTTTCAAAAGTCAAGTACAGTTTCCCCTGACAAAACACGTAGTGCATGGAATTTTTAGATGGAGAATTTACAGCAGAGTAGCATGCAGAGAATTCATTACAGCCGGGAGAAGGCACTGCAAGAAGGTGACAGTATTGTTTGCATAATAGGTTTGTCTGTTGGAAACTAAGAGAACTACTGAACTGGCTTAATAAATTACGTACATTTTTCGGTAGCTAAAGAGAAGCATAAGCAGGTCCTGGGAGAAAAGGGGTGAAAAGGCTCAATATATGAAGTAAAGAAAAATTAAAATATTATGGGATAAGCTGTTAAAATCTGCAGTTCACCAACCCAGAATCACGCTGCTATTTAACGCAGATTTACAGGACAAAGGAATCTAATGGCCTGTAATTCAGGGCCACAAGGCTTTTAGGATGGGAGGACTTGAAGTGTGCCTCCCGTCTCACATCATTACGGGCAGCTCCTCAGTTCAGATTGGGTCCCAGTTTGCATTTAGCATTTTGGGGAGTGATATAAGTTTCTGCCCCGTTCCATTGCTTGTGATTCCATTATTCTGCCCTAGGATGAGACTTTGTGATATCATGTTCTAAGGCCATAGATTATTAACATCATTGAACAAAAAGCATCATAGTCCTCTACAACCCTTTACCTCTGCTTCAGGGTGATTTTTAAGAGCCAAAAGTGACCTGTGGCCACAATTAGGTCTTGGAGTTGACCACTGTTGCAGGTCTGTGTTGTAATTATAAAGTAACTTTTTTTACCCTTTAGGTTAAAAAACAACAACCTGGTCTAGTGGAAGGTGTCCCTACTTGTGTTAGGGGGTTGGAACGAGATGATCTTTAATGTCCCTTCTAACCAAAGCATTCTGTGATTCTATAATTCTAGGAAGTGAATAATATCAGAATATTCTTATTAGATTTAAAGTGGAAAAGGACCAGCAGAGGTTATACTGGTTGAGGAAACCAAGTTGTACTGCTCTTCGGGTGAAAGAACGTGGCAGGGAGGGAAAGAGAGCACAGTGAAATAAAGATTAGACTGGATGCTGTGGAATGAAAACACCTCATTGCGAAGCCAAAGCCTAATGAAGTCAATCTCTTTCTTCTCTTCTATTGGGAGAGTGGGGTTGGTCAGACTCAAAATTCTCCTTGGCTGATTTAAGCTGCCTTTGGTGTGAAGGAGCTGCAAAGCAAGTTCAGCCTAAGGACATCATTAGAGAGAGGAGGAAACCTAAAGAGAAGAGCAAAAGAGCATTAGCATATCAGCAAATCTCTTTTCATACCTTCTCTCTCTCACACACACACATACAGGTACACACACAGCTCCAATGGATCTTGCCAACATTTGCAGCACCAAACACTGCTATGAAAACACTGCTGCCCGTGTGCACCCTGGTGCTGGTGACCTACCCCAGCCACACACTACAGCTCTTTGTCTTGTTTTGCCTGGGATTTTATCAGTCCTAGAAAATGGACAGTGCTCTTATTGAGTGTCTTGAACCCCAAGTCTATTTGATAGCCATTGCAGGCTTGATGTGCAGCGGTCTTTGTTAAGAAACACACAGTCTTTACATAAACAGGCTGACCTTTATAACTGGCATTTTGTCAGGAGGGGCTGAAGGGGAGGAGAAAAGGGGAGAGAAGAGCCTGTGCTACTTGTTGCTGTGAGAGAAATCATATTCTGAGGCAAAGAGGCAAGATGGCATGTCTTTCATTTTTATAACTGCATAAGGCAGCATACATGTGCCTACATATTTAACAGCTACTACAATTGAAATGGACACTGCAATTTTTTTCACAAACTGTAACATCCTTCCTTCAATCCTTTTCTCACCTCCTTGCTAACGAAAAAGTCAATAAAACCCCAGGCAGGGCAAATCATTACTAAGATCAGCTCATTTAGCATAAAAATGATTAAACATGCTGACAGGAACAAACACACGTGATGCCAGAGGAATCTTGGGTTTCTGTGGTTTCCGAATATTTCACGGCAGATTCTGGAAACATAAAACTGCCAGACTGGCAAACGGCAGCTTTGAACTGGTGCTTACAGAGGTAACGGAGAGAAGACAAAAAACTTTCTTGATCAAAAAGCTCCACAGAAATTACCATCTCTTTTTGAAGACCACATGTAGCACAGCAGACAAGCGCTGGTGTAATGCTGCGGTCACTCCGGACTGCCCAACGTGTGCATCACATAATCGGTATGGTTAGTGTGCTTATTGATCCTGGGAAGCATGAGGTGAACACAGCCAGGCGACACCGCAGGGATGCCAAAGCTCCCGGTTGATCTGCAGGCTGTTCCCGGACACGGGCTGGCTTTCGGTTTAGCTCTCAGCCCAATTGTACACAGGGAAAAGCGTTTTTATCAGCCATGAACGCGTGTCTGCTCACAGCACGGATGGAGGAGAGGGACTAGGGGTAGGGGGGGGACACACACCAACCTCCATAAATGCTGGCACTGCCTCCCTCTCCCCCACACACCTTGAGATTCCGCACACATTCCAGAGGCACTATGCGAAGAAAAGGGAGATTTTTCCACCGAGCCAGCTCGTGATTTCCATACAGAGAACCTGAAAGCGCCGAGAAGGAAGGGGGGGGAGGATGAAGAGGGGGATGAAGGGGAGATGCTCCTCTTACCCAGGGCAGGAGAGGGGCACGGGTGATGAGCAGGGGCATTTTCGCCCACCCTCCCTCCTCCGCAGAGGTTCCTCGCCGCGGTGTCGCCTCCCCGCGCCGCTCCCAAAACCTGTTCCCCGCTCCAGGACCTGCAACCCTTCCCTGCCGGACACGAAAGGACAGCGGCCCCGGCGGGGTGGGGATGCGGGGAGAGCCCCTCCGACAGCCGGGCTGCGGAATAAATCAAATAAAAGGCTGTGAAACAAAGGGTTGGCCGAGGGTGGGGGCCGAGCAGGAAGCTGGGATGCTCTTACCCGGTCGATGTCGCCGCTGCGGCTCGCTGGAGCCCTACCCGGCTGTGTCGCTGTCCCCTCTCCCCCCGCCCCGAGGCAGGTGGCGGAGGCCCGCGGACCCGTGGACTCCGAGCCCCCCGAACCCCCGAGCCCCGCGGACCCCGAGCCCGACCAGCGGCGTCCCCAGCGCCCCGGCCGGGGGCTGAGCCGTCCCCCCGGCCCTCTGTGGCCCGCCCGGCTCGCTCCAGCCTCCCACTGCTCGGTGCTCCACCTGCCTGGGCAAAGCCCCTCTCCATCCTGCCTGCTGCTGAGATCCCGCAGTTTATTATTCTTTCCTCGAGAATCGCTTCCATCACCACCAAAAAAACCCACCTCAACCCCAGCAAATCCCATTCCTCTCCGCAACTCCTCTCGCTATTCGGGTTTGCTTCCCTCTCTCCTCCTCCTCCTCCTTCTCTCTCCTCCCTCCCTCCTCCCCTCCTTTCCCCGTTTTGGGTCTGGAGCCTCTCTCTGCCCTACACACACACACAGACAGGCACGCAGGGTGTAAATGGGTTGTTTCACACACAGAACTGCTGCCGGTTCCCCAAGTCCCCCCGCCCTGCTCAGCCCTGCTCTAGCCTGAAGCCGCAGAACATGGACTATGTGCTCGGAGCCGGGATGCGTTTTGCCCACAGCCGCTTCGCCTCCTGCAATTTCACCCGGTGAGTAGGTTTGATTTCGCGTTCAGGTGGCGTGTCTCCGACAGAAAGGCCACTAACGACAGGGAGAAATAAAAATAATAATAAAAAATAAAATTATTAAAAAAAGAGTATTGCCTCGCCTTGCTCCTGACCGAGCTGGCTCCACTTTCTAAACTCGAAGGAATTAGGAAGCACCAGTCCTGTGCCCACATCCATCGCTGTTGGCAGCGCGCACCGCAGCACCGCTCCCAGAGCCGTCCCCATCTCACCGCTCGCTCACCACATTCGATTCATGTTTCCATCGGGCGCCTCGCCTGCTCCATTCCCTGGTTTAACCCTTGCAGACAAAGCCGTGGATGCTGGAAGGGCTCAGGGTTTCCCCCCCCCCCCCACCGCCCGTGTAGGGGAAAGGACAGAAATGCTGGTGGCTGAGGGAGCCTCTGAGCGTGCCTGAGGAATGGCTGGGAATCCGCGGGGGGGAGATCAGGTGGAAAAGTTCATCGCTCTTCCTGATCCCCTGAAGAACTCGGATTGGATTGGAGGTGGGGAAGGATTCCTCCAGAAGGACAGGGAAGGATTTCCAGTCCCGTGGAATGTGCTGGGAGGTGGCAGCGGCTGGAGCGAGGGCGGCCGGGCGTGCGGGGGAGCAGCGGGGGCTGTGGGGGCTCCTGCCCTGCTCCTGCGGGGCTTCTGTCCTGCCGCTGTCGCTGCTCGCTCCGTGCCCTTCCCGCATTTCTCAATCCCAGCGCACCTGATTTTACTTACTACTATTTTGGGGAACGCCTGTATTTTCGGCCGGCCTGAGGAGCGCAGGGTAGGAGAGAGGCGTCGTCTTCCCAAAACGTACACCCTGTATATATCTACCTGGGGCGCTGAGTGTCTCTCGGATCAAGTAGGGGCTTCTTTACTTTGAAAGAAAAATAGAGAAGAACTAAGGGAAATAAACACTCTAAGTCAAAAAAAAAAAAAAAAAAAAAAGGACAAGTGCCTTCAAGAGTGCTATTTGTGGTTAATACTTTGAGGATTTCTGTGTCTCTAATTAGCGTCAGAGATCCACCCACGGTCAGTAGCAGAAGGTAGGGAGGAAACGTTCCCTCTCGCTGGGAGGTATTGACTGGCTCCGTGTAGCTGTCATTCGGGTGCAAGGGGAGGTGTGTGTGTGTGTGTCCGTGTGTGCGCAGCCGTGTCTCCAAAGCAGTGCATGCAGACATCACAAGGAGGCTGCTAAAGGCTTGCAAGCAGGTGGAGATGCCAGGGAGATGTACACAGGATCCGAATTTATTGCCTGGCGGCAATAAAGCAGAAGACGGGAAAGACCAATGGCCCCTTCAGTGCCTGAGTGTGCTACCCCCCTGCTTTTCCTTCCACCTCCCCTCCCCCCCCATTCCCAGCCTCCAAATTGCTGGCTGATTTCGGGAAAGGGGAAGTGAAAAAGCCTTTCAAGCGTGGGATCCAAAATCCACCCTTCCTCCGGCTCCTCTCTTCTCCCACCAGCTCGAAGCCCCCATGCCCACATCTCCTTCCAGCTGTGTGTCCTTCTCTCGTAGACTGTCCTCCAGGCGGTTTTCCCACTCCCGCCGACCTGCCCCTCTGCCCCCCACCTCCTCCTGCCCCGGCCTTTTCCACGAGTCTGAGGTGATTAACCAAATCCCAGACGTGTCTCCTGAATTACCCGCCTCTGGCGCTGCTGCTGCCGGGATCCTCCCGCACCAGTCTGCTCAGCAAAGTTTCTGTGCAGTCATACTCCCTTCCCTCCCCAGGTAGAGAGGATTACAGTGCGTTTCAAAACCTCTACCTGATTTTTAATCCTTTTTTTTTTTTTTTTCCTTAGCACTGAGGGAAAAAAAAAAACCCAAACCAACCAAAAACCAGGAAGTCCTGAGGGATTTAGCTTGCGAGGGGAATAGCTCAGCCGGTGAGCATCTCCTCGCCGTGCTGCTTAAATGCGAGAGCTCTGCAGGAGAGATTTATGCGCCCATCAGCAGAATATTGCCCGGGTTTAAGAGCACTCGATATTCCCTCTGCCGACGGGGGTGGGAGATGGTAGGACATAGGATGAGGGCAGCGGAGTTGCGTAGCTCACAGGCACTGTGACGGATGGCAGGAAAACTGTGTCTGGGCAGCAAAAGTGACACAGGTTGGACCGGGTGGCGTTTCTATGCTCAGCAGAAGGCGAGGGGACGCACACCGAACCCTTTGCCTACACCACCAAGTAAATTAATGCAATTAATATGGGCTTAATGGGCGATTGCAACAAGCGAGCGTCAGGCATGCTTAACAGAGAAGATTCCTATTACCCTTGATTTCCAGCATTCCGCACTCCCAGCCCAGGGATACCTTCTGCTCGGATCGTGCTGAATGACTCAGAAAAAAAAAGAATACCGAGCAGCAGCCAGGCGGGTTTTTCTTTGCTGTAGCGGCTCTTTTGCTTTTTGTACAATAGATTGGCGGCGTGTAAGTAGCTCCCGAGCCCAATGGCCCATTCCCGAGGGAATGCTCCCAAACAGCCCTCTTCCCTGTATTCAGGTGTCCAGGCTCCCTGCTTGCCTGTGTCTGTCACTGCCAAGGATTACCTCCACCTCCTCTGCTGTCTCCATCTCCCCCGAAGCCGTGTGGCTTTGGGACTCCCATTTGGCCGGGAGGTAATTTCCCAATTTCCACTATTGGCAGTGGCAGGCGGACACGCAGGGATGTGGCTCTGGCACAGGGAATACCTTTAAGGATGCGTGTCAGCGTCCAGCCTGCCTGGGCAGCCGCTCCTCCGAGCTGTGTGTCCCCGGGGCGAGGTACCAAAAAGGGGCGGGAGGGGACTGGGAGAGGCGGGGGCTGGAGGGGACCCGTCGCCCGCAGCAGCAGGAGGGGCTCCGGGTCCGGGCGGAGCGAGCACCGACAGCGCCGGTCCCGGCTGCGGGACCCCCCGCCGGCCGCTCCCTCTCCATCCTCTCCCCATCCTCGGCAGGACAGGGCAGCTCGTTTGGCAGGGAAGGGAAATCAAGCCCCCGGAGCGGTGCCCGCCCGTCGGTGCGGGCTCGGCGGGGCTCCCGCAGGGAAGGGAGCCCTCCCCGCAAAGGGTTAACGAGGCTGCGGGTGCTCCAGGCACGGTCCTGTGTGCGCCTCAGAGATGCACCAGCCAATCCCGGCAACAGCACCATGAACTATATGTAGCGTGGTGGAAGGAGCGAGGGGAAGGAAATAGGGTGTAAACTGTCACCGTACGTCGCAAGGCAGGAGACCTGCATTTTTTCGGGCTACGATTTCTGTGCCACTTAAGAGACCGTCATGCGTTTAAAAAGGTAAGGGCTTTGTTACCAGCTGTCCGTCTCGTGATTCACTGCCGAGTTCAAGTGCATTTTCTGCGTACCTTTCATTAAGTGCTAAATTCAGAGTGGGAAGAACGTGGAGTATGTCGTGATTTACTGTTTGGGGATCGTTCTGAAAGAGTACGTCAGCTTCAAGTTGTAATGGTTTCATGTAGAGATTAAGCAAGTGTATGCATGTGAAGTAAAGCGAATTCATGACTGGCAGAAAAAATGTGATGTGGGAGGTAAGAGAAAGATGTTCTGTTGTAACACCAAAATCAGTTATGGATCCATATGAAATGAAGGCTAATATGAGATAGACAGTATTCTGAAAAAAATACAGAGGGTAGTCAAGAGGCATATTTGACAAGCAAGTGTGACAGAAGAAAGAGAAGTGACTTCTTTCCTAGAAAAGCCTATGTCTAACTTTATTTAAATACAACCTCACAAAAGAATGCTATAAAAAGAAATGAAGTCAAAACCTTAGAGAATCTGTGTGTTCAGAGATGAGTGACTCTGACTCGTTAAGTGTACAGAGATAAAGCTGGAAGGGCCCTACTTACATTTACAAGATATAAGGAAAAACTTCAGAGGAGCAATCCATTTAGATATCAGACTTTACAGACTTCTGTCATTGCTCCACTCCATCCCTGTGAGGAGTTACTCATTTTAAACAGGTGCTCTCTCAGCTTTACCATAAGACCAGCTTTGGGAATAGAAACATTTGACTGGATGTCTTCCTCTCTGTATCCAAGCATAGCAACAGACCCTCGGTCTCAGATGCTGTTCAATCAGCAGGGTTCCATGAAGAAACTACCTACAGATTCTTGCCTCCAACCATTTTTCTCTCTAAGACACGCACATAATTTAAGCAGGAGAGGAATGAAATAAAAAAAAAATAAATCTGCGATATTTTCTGGAAGTTGATCCACCTCCAGTGAGAGCAAACTCCCCACCAGACCCCGAGTCCACCGGAGTTGTGTGTTTGCGGCGATTGTTCACGAAATGCTGAAGCCCTGTGAGTGAAAACCTTAACTAGGAGACATGAAAACAAGCAGCTGAATGTTTTTACAGAGCTCACTGCAGAAGGCAGCATTTGTACAACAAGCCAACGAGCCAACGTGAGGATCTTCAAGTGATGTAATCAGCCCGTCTCATCCTTTCCCGTTTTTTTTTCCACTACTGTCTGAATGCCTTTGTGAAGAATTAATTACAGGAGTCTACTCACTGTTTACACCAACGTGTGTCTGAATAGATTGCAGTGACTTTTCATTCCTCTCAGTCCCAGACAATGATTTAGGGGACTAAAATATTTTTACTTCATTTGGATTACTTTGAAATCCAGTAATCATATCTGACTGTGACCAATCTAAGATGTTCTTCACTTGAGATGCAACACCTATTGAAAACAAAAGGAAGCTCTTTTTATCAGCAAGCTTGCTTCCTCAGCAGTTTGTTTTTGTTTTTTTTTTTGTTTTTTTTTTTTAAATCTGAATGAAAGATTGGAAGATCAAACAACTCACCTAAGTTTTTCTTAGAAGAAAAAGAGAGTAGTGGGAATTATCAGATGACGGTTTCTAGAAACACAGTTTTCTAGCTGCCATTTATGCCTAGTGCAGCCCTTAATCATCCCAAAGCTCCATCTCCCCTCAAAACCTGAAGAAGGCACTGATTTTATTTTTTATTTTCTCTCCTGAAACACTAGTAATCTCATATGGAGAAAAATCACCAGCAATACATTTTGACAAATAGAGCTCAAATGCTCCTTCAGAAAGGTTGCATTGAAGCAAGCTTGTCCTGTTGGAGCTGCAGGTAGCACCTTACAGTCATTTCATGAAGAAGTTGTCTTGCTGTTCTTTTTGGTCTCATACCACCATAAGAGAGCATTTTTTAAAAACAAATTTTCAGCCACGTTCTCTTCCTAGCTTTGTTCAATACGTGTATGTTCAGGGAGGGCCTGATCTTGCACAATTAAAGGAGTTCAGAGCATTGCTATTAACTTTGGAAGCAAGATCAATTTCCAAAACGATATTTTGGAGCTAAGATGAACTTCAGATTTAGAAGGAAAAAAAAAAAACAAACAGAGGGCATCATGAAGTTACATGCTGCATACTGAGCAGTCTGAGGCTTTGCATATCTTGAGACAAATAATATTAAACTACTAAAGAACTGAAGGATTTTTAACCTGATCTTACATTGGTTGAGGCCTCAATACTTTTACCACCAGTGATAAATCAACATTTTTTGTTTGAAGTCAAGGAGTGTTGAGACCCCCCATGAGCTGCAGGCAGGCAGCACCTTTAAACTCAGGTCGTCATCCTGCTGAAAACTGGAATGGGAATAATTTGGTCTGGCAGCTCTGAAGTTAATCCTTCATATGCACCACAGTTTATGTGCACACACAAATACAGTCTGCAGATACATATGCACACACAGATATAAATATGCATGACGTGCACTGCACATCTCTCCACACCCAGGGGCTGGAGAGTTACTCTCTTGCCCTGCCTTGTACCATGGCATGGATTATTTAGCCCAGGCTGTTCCCCAGCTCCCATTGAAAGGCTTCACCTCCTGCATGTGCCACAAAATAGTGCCCTGATGAGAGGAGAGAAGGACCCTGTGCCACGTCAAGGCTTTTCATGTTTGACTGATGAGCCTCTCACAAAGGCCACAGATTCTGTCCCACCTTCAAAAGAAGATTGGCCAAGCACTATATACTGTGAGCTAAATTGAGACTATTAAACTGTAGTGGTTCCTCTTATAATGAGGTGAGATTGTAAGGCTCGTCCATCAGATGCCTTTACTGTAACAGTTACATTAATGGTGATTAGC